AGAGCAGAAGTGAGGGTGATAAGTACAGGTTGTGGGGTGGGGAGGAAAGGTAAACAAGAGAGAGTTTGAGAAGAGAGGGCATTATAGCAACAAAGAGAGTTAGTAAGAGCATGCTGAAAAGAGGAGAAATAACAAAGGAAGGCTGATGGAAAGAGGTAAGAGAGGGAAGAGCACATGCAATCTACTTGAGGTGGAGCACTAATGTTTGTACTTGCCTTAGTCAAAGTGTCGTGTTTAAAGTGCCATGCACTTAGCGACCGTAATGCGTACTTTGCGCAAGGAATGCCAGCCTGTCCCCTCGCCAACTGTCCCAAGGACTGTACTTTTGGATGGATGGGGGGAGGTTAGGCAATCGTTCAATTAAGAGCTAATAAATGACACATGGTGAATGTGTTCTGCGCTTAAATTGCAAGCAGGATGGACACAAGATAAGGCAAGGTGTTTGATCTCAGCTAAGGCACTATGAGGCTAAGGTCACTTAATATAGGCAAGTATACACAGTAGTTACAAAAAAAAAACAAAAAAAATCTAACAAAGCAGATAATTTCAGGCATGCAAAAATAGCTTAGTGATTGAGAGAGCAGTGGAAGCAGTGTTTACCAAGGGCAACAGGAAGGCAGATGTCAGTTGCAGGCAGAGCAGGAAGTTTCAGAGGGCAATGGAAACAGTGGTTACCTGGAGGAGCAGAGGAGAAATGATGAGAGGATGTTGAGATGTTCCCTTGTTGCCGTGTTTAAAGTACCATGCACTTAGCGCCGTAATGTGTACTTTATGCAAGGAATGCCAGCCTGTCACCTCGCCAGCCGTCCCAAGGAGTGTACTGAATTTATACTTGGATGGATGGGGGGAGGTTAGGCAATCGTTCAACTAAGAGCTAATAAATGGCACATGGTGAATGAGTTCTGCCCTTAACAAATTGCAAGCAGGATAGACACAAGATAAAGCAGGTGTTTTTTTTTTTCACACCTTTATAATTTCCCCCCGATCTGCTCATTTCCCCATAATAATTGCATTGTGACAGGGGCATGGTCCAATATTGACATAACTTCTATTTTTACTTTGACCAGAGGCTCGACAAGTCAATGGTCCAGCAATATATAATCCAGTCTTGAATACATCTCATGTGCATGAGAATAAAATGTATAGTCTCTGTCCTTCATGTGCTTAATTCTCCATATATCTACAATCCATGCAGAGATTGAAATCACCTGCCACAATTAAATTGCCTTTTTTGAAATCCATTAACTTTCTCAGAGTATTTTTTAGAAATACCTCCAGTTTCTTATTCGGGCAATAAATATTTGCTAGTGTACAGTCTATTTCCTGTAATTTTCCCTTCAGAAACAGAAATTCTACTTCCGGATCTACCAATCTGTCTTCCAGCTTAAACCTTATATTTTTCGCAAAACCTATTGCCACTCCCTTGGCACGTTTAATTGGGGAATCTGCATAAAACCACATTGGATAATATCTGGAATTTAATTTCACATTTGATTCTTGCACCAAATCTGTTTCCTGTAAAAAAAAAACCACTGAAGAAAATCTGTCGAATTTCTTTAAAAATCCCAAATCTCTTCCCAGGGCTATTTAACCATTTAACATTATAAGTCACAAAGTGAATCTCTTCCATTCTTCTCCTCTCCACACCTCTATCTTCCCCATCTCTTCTCTCTTCCTCTTTCCTCCACATCTTCCCCTTTGATCTCTAGGATTTCTTCAGACTGATGTTTCTTCCACTATTTCGCAGAGTCTTAAACTACCTATCCCCTCCTCATACCCTCCTCCCACCCACCCACTTTTCCTCCCACTCCTCTCCATCCCCCCCTGCCCCCCACCACCCCATCTCCCTTTAAGCTTACATTTTGCCTATGAATCATTTGTGGTCCTAACCCCACCTTTGATTCAGCTTTTAAGGTGAAGCTATGACCATGAACTTTTCCCCAATAAGCGTGTCTCATCCTCTGTGTCCTACCATACTCTAGTAGACTTCAAAGATCATAAGAGAGAGGCAGAAATGGAGGGCGAGAGAGAGAAGAAAAAAAAAAAGGGGAGAGAACCCCCCTCCCTCCCTCCCGTCTTATTCATCTTTACTATTCCTACTCTCTATTTCTCCTTAGAGCTACTTGCCTCTCCTCATTTTCCATAGCTCACATTTCTCCTTCTCCTTCTTCCTCCCAACCAGGGATATTTATTTTCTGTATATCAAGTCTCTCACAAAAGTCTCTCAGATCTTCGGGGAATCTCAGTCTTGCTGAACGTCCATTTCTCCATCCGATCAAACACGCTGGAAACCCCCAGCTATATCGAACATTCTGTTTTCTCATCTGTTCCAGTAACGGTTTCAAAGTTCTCCAAAGTTCTACTTATTAATGTTTCCGCTGCTAATTCAGCAAAGATCTGTATATTTATTTCTCCATATTTTATTATTGCTCTTCCTTTTATCTTCTTCCAAAGCTCTTCTTTATCCCGAAAATTATGGAATTGCAATATTACATCTCTTGGCTTTTCCTTTCTATCTTCTTGTATGTATTTACCTATTCTATATACTCCCTCCATTTTGAGAGGCTATCCATTGTAGTATTCAACATTCTTGTTATTATTCCCATCAAATCTTCTCCTTGGGAGATCTATGGAAAGCCTTGTATCCTTAGATTGCATCTCCTATCCCTATTCTCCTGGTCTTCCAATTTATATAGCAGATTTCTTTGTTCTTTTCTCATTTCCATCGCCCGTTTTTCTAATGTCTGTATAATTTGGGCACGTTTATCTAGTTTTTCTTCCGTCTCCTCCACCATTGATAATATTTGCCCCAGATCTTTGTGTAATTTCGCCAGTTTCTGTTTTAGGGATCTTTCAAGTCCTTTAAACATTTCTGCTTTTTCTGCTTTAGTAAGCATCTGTGAGCTCTCCTCTTGTTCTTCTACTTTATCCATATCCACTTTTTCTTCCATATGTTGACTACTGTTAGCTAATCCCAGGGATAGTCTGGAACATTCCCCACTGTTTTCCCTCTCACCTCTTACACTTATTCCCTGTTGTCTCTCTGGAGTCTGTTTCTCCTGTAAGGGTATGTATCGTATTTTTCGCTCCATAAGACGCACTTTTTTCCCCCAAAAAAAGGGGGGAAAATGTCAGTGCGTCTTATGGAGCGAGTGTAAAGCGGCCGGTCCGGTATTTCTGCCGCCACCATGTCAGAATATCGGGCCGGCCGCTCAGCTCTTCTATCCTGCAGGACCCTACCTGTTCCTCGCTCCAGCGCTGCAGACTTCCTGCGGCGGCTTCTGTGACAGCTGGGTGCCCATTGCACATGCGCGAGAAGCACCGCGCTTCGTGAATGGTCCGGTGTCTTATGGGTCCCAGAAGGCTCCGGGCCATTCACAAAGCGCAGCGCTTCTCGTGCATGCGCAGTGGGCACCTGGCTGTCACAGAAACCACCACGGGAAGAAGAAGGAAGGACAACTCCGTGAAAGTGGGAGCGGGTACCTGTCAAATTCAGGTACCCGTTTCCCCTCCCTCCCCAAAGGTCCACAATCTCTGGTAATCTCCTTTACTGTCTGCAGTCTCTGGTCATCCCCTGCACTGTCTGCAGTCTCTGGTCTTCTGTACTATGTCCGCAGTCTCTGGTCATTCCCTGTACTGTGTCCGCAGTCTCTGATCATTCCCTGTACTGTGTCCGCAGTCTCTGGTCATTCCCTGTACTGTGTCCGCAGTCTCTGGTCATCTCCTGTACTGTGTCCGCAGTCTCTGGTCATCTCCTGTACTGTGTCCGCAGTCTCTGGTCATCTCCTGTACTGTGTCCGCAGTCTCTGGTCATCTCCTGTACTGTGTCCGCAGTCTCTGGTCATCTCCTGTACTGTGTCCGCAGTCCTGGCATCTCCTGTACTGTGTCCGCAGTCTGGTCATCTCCTGTACTGTGTCCGCAGTCTCTGGTCATCTCCTGTACTGTGTCCGCAGTCTCTGGTCATCTCCTGTACTGTGTCCGCAGTCTCTGGTCATCTCCTGTACTGTGTCCGCAGTCTCTGGTCATTTCCTGTACTGTGTCTGCAGTCTCTGGTCATCTCCTGTACTATGTCTGCAGTCTCTGGTCATTCCCTGTACTGTGTCCGCAGTCTCTGGTCATTCCCTGTACTGTGTCCGCAGTCTCTGGTCATTCCCTGTACTGTGTCTACAGTCTCTGGTCATTCCCTGTACTGTGTCCTCAGTACATTGGTTCAGAATATTTTTATTCTTGTTTTTCTCCTCTAAAACCTAGGTGCGTCTTATGGTCAGGTGCGTCTTATGGAGCGAAAAATACGATATTTTTTAATTGAGCCTGTTTGGGAAGCCTTAGGCCCTCCTCCCTTTGATACTGTGTTTTTCATGCTGTCAGGGACTATTTCAATTTTACGCAGTTCTGGTTTTGGGGGTGGGGAGGTCTATTTTTGATTTGATATCAAAATTTGTTGTCTTCCATAGGTATCCCCCTCTCAGTTCTTTTCTTCCTTTTTCTCTCCCCCCACTACCAAACTGATCTACCCGGGTCCTCTTCTTCTAGGTCTTTATCTGTTTTACATTGTCCTCCTTCTGATTTTCCTCTAAGACCCCCTGGGTGAACCCCTCCTCAGTTTAAACATATAGTTCAATACATACAGTTCAGTTCACATGCAATATATTAATCTCAGTACGTTTGTCACTCTCACTCACCCTCTTATCCCCAATACGGCTTTTCCCCCGTATGAGATCTCTGTCATATATGAAGAAAAGGGCTTCTCTGAAAAACATTTCCCGCACTCCGAACAGGTATACAACTTCTCCTCCATGTAAGATCTCTGATGTGTGTGAAGACTAGGCTTCACAGAAAAGAATTTCCCGCACTCAGGATAGACACATGGCTTTTCACACTTAGAACAGTGATATAGCATCTTCCTCATGTGAGCTCTCTGATATATATGCAGGCTGGACTTCTACGAAAAACATTTCCCGCACTCTGAACAAGGGTATGGCTGCTCCCTCTTGTATTATCACTGGTATGTATAAAAATAGGACTTACAGGAAAAACATTTCCTGCACTCGAAACAGGAATACTTCTCCCCCATGTGAGATCTCTGGTTTCTATAGAGATTGAACTTCTCTGAGAGACTTTCCCGCACTTTAGGACATCTCTTCCTTTACTCCAAGTGAGGGGTGAGGCGGCTCCAGGTACTCTCTTCTGGGGAACATTGCACTCGACATTCCCCTCACACAATGAGTGGATTGCAGGGGGGGTTCACCGAGCCCGTTTCCGCATGTCTCTAGCTGCCCCTTGTCCTGTGTGCCGGATGAAGAGTGCTCCAAGAAACGCCGGCCGGCTCCTCTGCCTCCCAGAGCTCCCTTGCGGCAGATCACCTGATCGCCCAGCATCCACTGAGCTCCGGGGAACACACAGCGTCGGGCCGAGAGCACAGAATGGCCGCCACTTCCGAAGGTCCTCGGTCCACGCCAGGCAGGTCTCCTCTCTCCCCGGCTAGTCTCTCCAAGCCATGGTCAGGCTCCTTCCTGGGTGTGGTCCAAGCAAGATAAAGCAGGTGTTTATTCTAAGCTAAGGCACTATGAGGCTAAGGTCACTTAATACAGGCAAGTATACACAGTAGTTACAAAAAAGCAAAACAAATCTAACAAAGCAGATAATTTCAGGCATGCAAAATAGCTTAGTGATTGAGAGAGCAGTGGAAGCAGTGGTTACCAAGGGCAACAGGAAGGCAGATGTCAGTTGCAGACAGAGCAGGAAGTTTCAGAGGGCAAAGGAAGCAGTGGTTACCTGGAGGAGCAGAGGAGAAATGATGAGAGGATGTTGAGATGTTCCCTTGTTGCCATGTTTAAAGTGCCATGCACTTAGAGCCGTAATGCGTACTTTGCACAAGGAATGCCAGCCTGTCCCCTCGCCATTTTTTAAATTAAATTTAAAAAATGAATAAAATGATACATTTCAATACCCACAATTCATGCACTTATGAGCATGAGATGGTGAATAACAGTCTGGGATGAGTCAGTCAGGAAACTTTCAGTCAGGGTTGAGAGCTCTGCAGGTCAGTTCCCCGATACCTCCCCCTGCTATAGAAGCATGAGAAGTTTTTAGAAGGCAGTGGGAGGCACTGGCCTGCATACTTAAGGTACCTTGGCCAATACCCAAGCTGGAGGCTTGGCATGGGGCCAGGACATCCCTTAATTATGAGAGAGCCTGATCAGCAGGAGTGAGTATCAGGTGGAAGATGGAGTGAAGGCTGGAGTGTGGAACTTGGGAGGGGGCCCAGGGAAATGCCCTACCTACAGGCAGATGCTGGAAAAGGGAATCTCCACTACACCCCCGTTTTCTAAGAGGAACATGAGCAGCAGGGAAAGCACCAGCCCAGCGAAAGGACGGAAGGCAGCCACCAACCCACCAAGCTGACAGAAAAGGACAGTGTAAGTACCCTTACACCCCCTGGGCCGGATAAGGGGAGAGGGCAGTCAAGTGGAAAACCCAACTAGTTTCTCATCTGGGACTGTTTTCTCAAGTGGCAGTTTCTGTCTCCCCTTGCCCTGGGATACACTCAGGCAGCTAGCTGAAGAATAGGACTCATCTGGGGTCTGAGGTGGTACACCAGAAAGACTGGAGAGCTCTCCAAAGGACAGACGTTTTGTCCACTGACTTGTACATAGTTGCTAAGCAGCAGTTTGTCCTCAAAGTTAACAGTTTCCTTGGGCATTACATACGCTCCTGAACCCTATCGAAGTTATCAACTTCTTAACAAAATCACAAAACCAAGCTCAAAGACTGTTTACTGACGCGTGTTGCCATTATGTATCACTAGAACTATATATACAGTACATACTGTACGGTGTTCACAAATACTTAAAGCGGACCTTCACTCTAAATGAAGTTCAATCTTGCTATGCCTCCTTGCCCCTCCCACTCTCACACTTGGATATTCATATATATATTTTTTTTTTCTAATAGATTTTTTTGTGCTGCAAAGCAGCTCTTCAACATTTCTCACCTAAGCGAGAACAATGCTTTTGTCCCCTACCCCCATGCAAAGATATAACACTTGTACATATGCATGGCTTTCCCACACATCTGTGCATGCAAACCATGCACAAAAGATATATATCCTGAAAGTTACAAAGTTTTGGTTTGCTTGAGCATGTGCTGGAAATCTCCAGTGCATGCACAGATGTATTGGAGGGCTCTGCCGGGACCCAAAGGCAGGGCAAAGCCCTTTGACACTTCTTTGCATAAGCCATAATAAGCATTAGCTAGTACTGGCACTCTGCTGCATATGAGAATCATCATGCAATTGTAACTCAGCAACCTGGAAATGGGGTTGGGTATGCATGACCTTACCAGGGACCTCTTCTCCATCGTCTAGCTATCTGACAGTGTGCCACTGCTGTCTACAGGTTGGTATTTTGAGGCAGATTCTGTCAGTGAGGCTTCCCTTTCGCTCTCACCTGACTAGCTCAGAATCCTGCAGACCTCTTCACTAGTGTACCTTTTGTTAGACATTTTGGCCACTAAATGTATAGGTACCTAGTGCGACTCATGGGAAGGGGTTTCAGACACCGGGAGGAGGGGCAGGGTTTTAGGGTCATGTGACCGTCGGGATTTGCTGTCAAGGTGGTCACATGATTGGAAAAGGTCCTGTCAGGGCTCCCAGGTGTGACCAGAGATGTGTGACTGACGCAGGGAAACGCAGACCTCAGATATGTTATAAACAATATAATTTATTAACACTAACAATACAAACATAAACGCAGTGCAATACTAAAACATAATACAGTGCAAACAAACCAAACCAAACCACCCACAGATAACAGTACATACAAGCAAGCGTCGTCAGGCAGGCCGGGTCAATATCAATAGGGCAGGTAGGTACAGGGGGAGCAAGCGGAGATTGGTCAGGGTCACAAGCCAGGGATCAGAACAGGTAGCAAGCAGCGTGGTACAGAGGGTCAGACAGAGGGATGGTCAGGAGCGAGCCGGGATCAGAGCAGGAGAAGTCAGCAGCGGTTCAGAAACAGGATGCAGGACAGAAACAGGATGCAGGACAGAAACAGGATGCAGGGCCCAGGACAAACACACACCAAGGCAGAGTCTGTGGGTCTGGCCATCCCTTAAATACCCCAGCATAATCAGTTACAGGTGTTAGCTGGCTGCAAAGTTGAGTCTCTGATTGCTGGGAACACCCGCTGGCCAGCCCTGGTACTGCAGATCAAAAGGCAGGTGAGTCCCACCATAGCTGGCCAGTCCATTCCTGACAGTACCCCCCCCCCCAAGGAGCGGCCTCAGGACGCTCCAAACAGTCCTAGCTGGGAAAAATGTTCCACCGCCCGGGTCTGGTAACTGGCGGGATATCAAAGACTGGCACACCGGGCAGGACTCCGGGCAGCGGTACACCGGGCAGAGGCACATCGGGCTGGACTCCGGGCAGAGGCACATCGGGCTGGACTCCGGGCAGAGGCACACCGGGCTGGACTCCGGGCAGAGGCACACCGGGCTGGACTCCGGGCAGAGGCACACCGGGCTGGACTCCGGGCAGAGGCACATCGGGCAGAGGCACATCGGGCAGGACTCCGGGCAGAGGCACATCGGGCAGGACTCCGGGCAGAGGCACATCGGGCAGGACTCCGGGCAGAGGCACATCGGGCAGGACTCCGGGCAGAGGCACATCGGGCAGGACTCCGGGCAGAGGCACATCGGGCAGGACCCCGGGCAGAGGCACATCGGGCTACCAGGCGAAGCAGCAGGCAGCGGGCCACCAGGCGGAGCAACAGGCACCGGGCCCCCGGGTGGGGCGACAGGCACCGGGCCCCCGGGCGGGGCGACAGGCACCGGGCCCCCAGGCTGAGCGGCGGGCGCCGGACCCCCAGGCGGAACTACAGGTCTCGGGCCCTCAGGCGGAGCGGCGGGCGCCGGACCCCAGAAGGAGCGACAGGTCTCGGGCCCTCAGGCGGGGCGACAGGCATCGGACCCCCAGGCGGGGCGACAGGCATCGGACCCCCAGGCGGGGCGACAGGCATCGGACCCCCAGGCGGGGCGACGGGCATCGGACCCCCAGGCGGGGGCGACGGGCATCGGACCCCCAGGCGGAGCGACAGGCATCGGGCCCCCAGGCGGGGCGACAGGCATCGGCCCCCAGGCGGGGCGACAGGCATCGGGCCCCCAGGCGGGGCGACAGGCATCGGGCCCCCAGGCGGGGCGACAGGCATCGGGCCCCCAGACGGAGCGGCAGGCGCCGGACCCCCAGGCGGAGCTACAGGTCTCGGGCCCTCAGGCGGAGCAACAGGTCTCGGGCCCCCAGACGAAGCGGCGGGCACCGAGTCACCAGGCACGACAGTGGGCACCGAGTCGTCTGGCAAGACTGCGGGCACCGAGTCAACTGGCGGAACAGCGGGCACCGAGTCGTCTGGCAAGACTGCGGGCACCGAGTCGTCTGGCAAACTGCGGGCACCGAGTCGTCTGGCAAGACTGCGGGCACCGAGTCGACTGGCAAGACTGCGGGCACCGAGTCGTCTGGCAAGACTGCGGGCACCGAGTCGACTGGCGGAACAGCGGGCATCGAGTCGTCTGGCAAGGCTGCGGGCACCGAGTCGTCTGGCAAGACTGCGGGCACCGAGTCGTCTGGCAAGACTGCGGGCACCGAGTCGTCTGGCAAGACTGCGGGCATCGAGTCAACTGGCGGAACAGCAGGCACCGAGTCGTCTGGCAAGACTGCGGGCACCGAGTCGTCTGGCAAGACTGCGGGCACCGAGTCGTCTGGCAAGACTGCGGGCACCGAGTCGTCTGGCAAGACTGCGGGCACCGAGTCGTCTGGCGGAACAGCGGGCACCGAGTCAACTGGCGGAACAGCGGGCATCGAGTCGTCTGGCAAGACTGCGGGCACCGAGTCGTCTGGCAAGACTGCGGGCACCGAGTCGTCTGGCAAGACTGCGGGCACCGAGTCGTCTGGCAAGACTGCGGGCACCGAGTCAACTGGCGGAACAGCGGCCATCGAGTCAACTGGCGGAACAGCAGGCACCGAGTCGTCTGGCAAGACTGCGGGCACCGAGTCATCTGGCAAGACTGCGGGCACCGAGTCGCCTGGCAAGACTGCAGGCACCGAGTCGTCTGGCAAGACTGCGGGCACCGAGTCGTCTGGCAAGACTGCGGGCACCGAGTCGTCTGGCAAGACTGCGGGCACCGAGTCGTCTGGCAAGACTGCGGGCACCGAGTCGTCTGGCGGGACTGCGGGCACCGAGTCGTCTGGCGGGACTGCGGGCACCAAGTCGCCTCTGGCGGGACTGCGGGCACCGAGTCGCCTGGCAAGACTGCGGGCACCGAGTCGTCTGGCAAGACTGCGGGCACCGAGTCGTCTGGCAAGACTGCGGGCACCGAGTCGTCTGGCAAGACTGCGGGCACCGAGTCGACTGGCGGAACAGCGGGCACCGAGTCGACTGGCGGAACAGCGGGCACCGATCGTCTGGCAAGACAGTGGGCTCCGAGTCAACAGGCACGACAGTGGGCACCGGGTCATCAGGTATCGGATTGTCTGGCTCGACAGCGGGCATCGGGTCACCAGGTATGACAGCGGGCACTGGGTCACCAGGCATCAGGTCATTTGGCTTGCCAGCGGGCACCGCGTCATCTGGCAAGGCAGTGGGCACCGGGTCACCAGGTATGACAGCGGGCTCTGAGTCAATTGGCACGACAGCGGGCACTGGATCAGGTACCGGATCATCTGGATCAACAGCGGGCATCGAGTCAACTGGCCTAATAGGATCGTCGGGCTGGATCAGTTCATCATGCTGAGTAGCGGCATCAGGCTGAATGCAGGCATCAGGCTGAGGAGAGGCTTCAGGCTGAGGAGAGGCTTCAGGCTGAGGAGAGGCATCCGGCTGAGGAGAGGCATCCGGCTGAGGAGAGGCATCGGCTGAGGAGAGGCATCCGGCTGAAGAGAGGCTTCAGGCTGAGTCACGGAAGGCAGGTTCACCGGTTTGGATACTGGCAGGATGGTATTGGTTGGAAAGAATTTTCGCTTTTTTCTGGTTTTAACTACTGGAGCACTGCAAGTAAACGCAGGTCTGCAAACGAATGGAGCAGCTGGAGACAGAGAGAAAAACTGGAGGATGGAACAGGAGAGGGAGCAGTTGCTACAGAGGGCTTTTTTACAGGGTTAAAGGCAGGATAGGTGCAGCGAGTGGGAACAGGGTACTGACATGCGGTAGATAGCCAAGTATACTGGGCTGTAACTGGAGGAGCTGGTGGGAATACAGGAGTAGAGTTAGAAGCAGGACTGGGTTTTTGTAAGCTGACTGAGGCTGGGTGCAACAAGTCTGTCCATGTCTGCAGTAGGGGTTGAACAAAGCTGAGCTTACACAAAGCCTGTCTGGTCAATGACTGCATTGCGTTTATACAATCTCTTAGTGTCTGTGGTGAACATGTGTGGAATACGCTCCAGAAAGTAACCCACATCATCCTCTAATAACCACACCAGGGACTCAACCTGGTCTGCACTAAATGGTGGCAAAAATTCATCCCTGCATTCGGGGGAACCAGATGAAACCAACTCAACACAAACCTGAATCAATGGCTGCACCATAGAGAAATCTGTGCCCTGATCTACTAGAACATGAGCGAGCCGTATACATTCTAGCAGTTCATCCCGGGGATACTCCTTCAGAGTCTGATAAGCATACTCTCTGTCATCAAGCACTAGCAGAGATAAATACTCAACCTCATCCAGATCCATCCTTCCCATCAACAAGCCAAGATGGCTTCCCTGTGCAGCCACTTCTGGTCAGGATTGGCCTTGGTGTAATGTCAGGGCTCCCAGGTGTGACCAGAGATGTGTGACTGACGCAGGGAAACGCAGACCTCAGATATGTTATAAACAATATAATTTATTAACACTAACAATACAAACATAAACGCAGTGCAATACTAAAACATAATACAGTGCAAACAAACCAAACCAAACCACCCACAGATAACAGTACATACTAGCAAGCGTCGTCAGGCAGGCCGGGTCAATATCAATAGGGCAGGTAGGTACAGGGGGAGCAAGCGGAGATTGGTCAGGGTCACAAGCCAGGGATCAGAACAGGTAGCAAGCAGCGTGGTACAGAGGGTCAGACAGAGGGATGGTCAGGAGCGAGCCGGGATCAGAGCAGGAGAAGTCAGCAGCGGTTCAGAAACAGGATGCAGGACAGAAACAGGATGCAGGACAGAAACAGGATGCAGGGCCCAGGACAAACACACACCAAGGCAGAGTCTGTGGGTCTGGCCATCCCTTAAATACCCCAGCATAATCAGTTACAGGTGTTAGCTGGCTGCAAAGTTGAGTCTCTGATTGCTGGGAACACCCGCTGGCCAGCCCTGGTACTGCAGATCAAAAGGCAGGTGAGTCCCACCATAGCTGGCCAGTCCATTCCTGACAGGTCCTGATCGCAAGGGGAGATCGGGAACTTTCCGTGAGACACCGACATGTGCTCTCAGCACATATGTGTTTTCAAATGGTAAGCAAATGTGTCGAGGCCCAGCTGCCGAGAGGCCGCATATGTACAGTCGGCATCAAGGGGTTAAAGTTAGGATCTTTCCCCAGCCTGGACCTGCTGAGTGATGTTAGCCGACAAGGGGCTTCAGCTCGCTATCAGTTGAAAACAGGTCACTGGAGTGCAGAACAAACTGTACTCCTGTGATCCACAGGTAAAGTATAGCCAAAAGAGCTTTGGCTGTAATTCTTTAGTCAGTTCAGTGTTCTCAGCTGCTGCTACTCTGATAGCTCTCTCTCTCTGCTTTCCAGACAGTTGTGGAATTCTCTGGAACCTAGGTGTGGAGTTATGCAGATGGCAGTATGAATAGTTATGCAGCCCTGGTAAATCCCAGGGAGCAGGGCCCTGAAGAGCTCTGCACAACTGCATAAATAATCTGGGAGACTGGGCTTCTGGGTCTCTTTCTGCTCAGGATCTGTACCTCCACGGCAACACTGCCATGTTCGTGGGCAACCTGAGGGCCTGGATACTGAAGCTACAGAGAGCAGACTGAAGGACTGTCTGCTAAAGATCTAGTATAGTATCACAGGAGAAAGATGTTGCTTTGAGGTTGGAAGGAGGCTACCAACTGTACCTGGACAGAGTACAGACTGCTGTGAGAGATCTTAGAGACCTTTGGTCTTCTGCCAACCCTCTTGTGCCAGACCCACAGGGGTGTCAAACTGGCGGCCCTCCAGCTGTTGCAAAACCACAAGTCCCATCATGCCTCTGCCTTTGGGAGTCATGCTTGTAACTGTCAATCTTGCAATGTCTCATGGGACTTGTAGTTTGGCAACAGCTGGAGGGCTGCCAGTTTGGCACCAGTGCAAGAGAATCAGCAGCCTGTTTTAACCAGGGTGCCCATTCACACTGGGGTGCCTTGAGGGTTCTTCAAGGGTGCCTTAGCAAAATTCTCTAAAAAATGCCCAAAACCTATATACAAGCCAGCGGGTGGAACAAACCTGCCTTTTAATTATACAAAGCCACAGGTTTTGATTGTGCACCATGGCAATCTTCTAAGTGCCAGTGACCTGACAACCAATGACATCAGCAGTTAAGGAGGAGGGTAATTGTCTGTGCAGCATCTTTGTTCGACCCCGCCCCTCTCCATCAGTGCTAGGGTCACATTAGCTCAGTGATGGAGAAAAACTCTCCAGTGAGGGAGAAAAGAAACACTGGTATGCTAGTCAGTTCCAGAGTGAAAAAGTGTATTTGCTTTGGAAGAATAAATCACCTCTAACATTGGGTGCCCTACGTTGCGGATGTTGCTGTGTTATATAAAACGATTAAAATAGTTTTTTACATTTTAGAATGGGGTGCCTCAAGACTGTTCATTATTTTAAAGGGTGCCTCAGGACTGTCCATAATTTTAGAGAGTGCCTTGAAATTGTTCACAATTTTAAAGGGTGCCGTGACTGAAAAAAGGTTGAGAAACACTGGTCTAAAGGAAACATCACCTGGTGTTCTGAAGAGCTTAGTTTAGTTCTCTGTGAAGGGATTCTGCTCTTGTTGCTCTAAAGGAAGAAGCTTGGGTGCTATTAACTGCTTCTTTTAAAAAGCCAAGTCAACAGTTTGCTATGTGCAATGACTTTCTGTTTCAGCTTTGCATTTAATGGTTTCTACTACAAGCCAAGTCCACAGTTTGCTGTATGTAAGGACCTCTGCTTCAGCCTTACAGAATGGAGTTCACTGTTCTCAACTTGCACATAGTTCCGGTTTTTGGAGTATCCTACTTAACTCCCTCAACCCTATCCAAGTTCTCTAAAAATAAAAATAACAAAATTAACACCCCTAGACTGGTTATTGAGGAAAAGGAGTGACTGTGTTTGTGTGCCTGGCTGCAGGGCAATCCACTAGCCTAGTTAGTAAAAGATAGATTTAGAGGTTCAAATATAAATTACTGTATCGCCCAATATATGGCTTCCATCCAGTAGCCAAAAAAATATGCAGACCAAAGAAGAGATTTCTGAAAAGAGATTCACAATGAAAGCGGCTTACAGTTATGTGACAGAATGGATTCAGAAAAGTTTTGTATGCTTTATTACTAAAGGATTGACACTCGGGCAATCGCCCTGGGTGCTATTAACTACACACAGACCTCTTAAAATCAATCAAGCCAAGTCAACAGTTTGCACTTGTAGGTCAGACTAATATAACATAACAGTTATAATGAAATAACCACAAATGTCTTTTCTGTGCTCACAAGCATTATCAGTTTTTATTCAACCCCCAAGTGACATTCAATCGTATGTACTTAGTACAGGTTTCCTTTTACAGTTATAACAGCTTTTAAAACGTTTGAAGCATAGCTTGACACCAAGTGTCTTGCACAGTTTGCGGTGTATCTTCGCCCATTCTTAAGGCAAAGGCCTCCAGTTCAGTCTGCTTCTTAGCCTGCAACTGCTTTCTTTACAGAATGGATTTAACTGTTCTCAACTTGCACAATGTTCCAGCCTTTCCTCTGCAACCATGCTCTAGTGGACTTGGAGGTATGCTTGGGATCATTGTTAAGGTCCAACGTCTCCCAAGCCTCTATCACGTTTCCATCCAATATCTCCTGGTACTGAAGAGAATTCATGGTACCTTGCACACGCTGAAGCTTCCCTGTACCTGCAGAAGCAAAACAGCCCCAAAGCATGATTGGACCCTCCACCATGCTTCACAGTAGGCAAGGTGTGACTTGTTTCTTCCCTCCTCCAAAACATTAGCGTTATTGATCCATGGGCCCAAACAGTTCTAATTTTGTTTTCATCAGTCCACAGAACACTATCCCACAACTTTTGTGTTTGTCCACATGGTGGCATACTGGTCTGCTTATTCTTTGTGGGACAGCCAGGGGGTAGCCTAGTTTGGCACGGAGGCCTTCATTAAGCATGTGCGTCTTATTGTCTGGGCTGAAACTTCTGTACCCAATCTAAATCTTTTCTCAGTATCGCTCAGCAATATCACACGGGGCTTCCATCTCTTACGCTTCAGGTAGCCACAAGTCGAAGTCAGCATCTTCTTCTTCTTGCCACGACCAGGTAGCGTTTCAACAGTGCCCTTTGCCTTGAATTTGCGAATGATGCTTCCTAAAGGTGTCTCTTGGTATGTTTAACATCTTTGCTTTCTTCTTATAGCCATTGCCCTTCCTGTGAAGAGAAATCACCTCTTCTCTTGTCTTCCTGGACCATACTCTCTTGCCTTCAAATGTTTGTAACCACACCAGTAAATGTCTAGAAGGAGCTGAGTATCACAGTCATTTTAAAGCTGCCTAATTGGTGCTTATTATGCTTGATTGCTGCTCTGGTGACATCCACAGGTGTTTTCAATACCGCCCTGTATGAACCATCTCTGTTCTTCAGAGTGGTAGTCTTTAAGGGGTTGAATAATTGTGGCAATGAGAAGAAACCACATAAGAACCATTTACTACATTACATAAACAATTGATGTCATTTTAGTTGCAGTAGTTACAACGTCCTTGTAGGATGATTGCTGAATACAATTCCTGTACTAAA